TTTAGAGTCCAGGGCTGGTGGCTCTTCTTGTGAAGTCACAAGGCAGGCACTCTCCTGGATGGGAGGTGCATGCCCTGCTCGAAAGGGGGATGAGCGTGGGCTGGAGAGCACCTGGGAGTGACCCTCGGCCAGCACGCAGCCTGGCTGTGCAGACTCGCTGTGCTCTCGGGCTGTGCCTGCAGGACTGTGCGTGCACACACAAAGCAGCGAGTCGCTAGCCTGCCCCGGAGACCGAGGAAAGGCCCCCAAGGGAGATGCCTCCTCCGGCTGGCAGTCGTGGGGTCCTCGTGCATACAGCTCCCAGGAGTCTCGCCGGGATGCCCAGGAAGCCAAACAGTCGGGATGTGGCAGAACCCAGCTACGAGAGAGGGGGTGGGAAATCGGCTGGGGGGAGGAGTGTCTGACCCAGCCCTGAACTTCTCTGGCAGGGATGTGAAATGCATGAGGAAATGCGGCACAGCCTGCGATTTCTCATTCTATTAGTGGGAGCGACGTTACTGGGCCCTGTAAATCAGCCAGATGGCAACCCCAGGGATTAGACAAGAAGGTGGGATCGGCCACAGGGGGGTGTTCCCCCCCCTCCAGCCCCCCTCAAAGAATTTTAATCACCACAAATTCCAGTGTGCTGCCGTGGGTTTGTTTATAACACAATGGACAACGCGGAGAGCATTTCGCTCTCCTTCCCTCCCAGGGCAATCCCTTCCAGCTCGACGTGCAGGCCGGGGGGAGGGTGCAGAGAGTCATGTGTTTGGGGGGCTTGCTCCAGTCACTTACCTTGGCAAAGGATGGTCTTGCGGGAAAGGTGGCAGATGGGGAGATGGGAGGCCGGGATTCAAGTCCCACAGACTTCATCTGTGCCTCAGTTTCTCCTTCTGTAAATGCAAATGCTAACACCACCTTTTTGGCTGATCCGGGTGAGGTTCAGTCCCATGTACTCTTCTTCCACCCCGCTTCCTCCCCACCCCTGCTAGCTGTGCCTCAGGTTGGGGTTGTCTACAGGTTGCAAACACCTGAGCCTCGCCTCTCGGAGATGAGACCTTGGTCCATTCATGTGTGGCCCCCTGCAGCAGGGCCATCGATTCCCCCTGATGGTGACGGGTGGCACTTCCACCCAGCATGGCGCAGAAGTCCCCATGTAGACAATCACTCGCCATCTCAACTCCCCTGCCTGCGCTGTCTTCGGGGGCTGGATCTGGAAAGCGTATTGGTGCTAAAGGATTTGCGTAGCATGGACGGGACAGCCTCCTGAGGCACCCTAGCCCAATGGAGCCCAGATCTCAGTGGGGCGGCTACGCATTACTGTACACAAATCACACTGCAGTGTCTGCCTTGTGCTTTGTAAGACTTCTGAAACAGCAGGGTGCAGAGCGCATTCCAAAAAATAAAATGCACCGATAAAATACCCTTGATATCAACGGACTGGTCCAGAGACTAGCTGGCTTCCTTCTTCTTGGGTTTATTTTCCATAGTCTTGGAGCTGTCCTCTTTAGTCCCTCCATCCCTTACTGGCTTCCCCTTTCGTCGTCAGACAGTGCTGCGCCCTTCCCCTCCTGCCTGCGTCCGCTTCCTTTCATCCCCTTCTTTTCCTCCTTTCCTTTTCTGGCAGGTCTGTGCCGTGTGAGCTGCGACGCCCGGGCAGATTCCACTGGAGCGGAGGAAAGAAAGTGTTTCCCCCAGGAGCCTCCGTGATCTCTTGCAAATGTTTACAGGATTAATACTGGCAAAAATCAACCCTGCAAGCTGTGGGCCAGGAGATGACATCAGAGGGCGAGCGGACTCCAGAGCTGCCTAGCGAGATCGTGCAGATAAAAGGGCAATTGCGTGATCAGGCTGGAATCCGCACTGATTGCCTGAGGAAGACTTAAGGCACTTTTGGGGAGGTAACACATACTCCAGCCTGGAAAGATGCAGCTTCAAACAGTCAATAAGCAGATGGGCCAGCAACTCGTTACAGCCCTGCTAAAAATCCAGCAATGGCCAGAAATGACAATGATCTGGGTGGAGTATTGCAGACTCACGCACAAATGGTAACCGTCTAGCTGCAGAAATCCAAATACTCGCATCCCACAGTGGGACCTGCAGCAGTCCCTGGCTGGCTTCTGGTGTAGCGGCTGAAAAGCCAGAGTCAAGGGGAGAGAGCCAGTTTCCCTCCTTCGAGGGGATAGGAATGAAATGGGGGGGGGAGGGGCAGGAAAAGGCTCTGTTGGCGCGAGCGAGTCCGTGATGTGCTTCTGGCTTGTGGATTGTTGTTCTCAGGGTAGCTGTAACTTGGGATTTAGCCAGCGATTCCCAGACTCCTTCGCTACGGGTTGAAACTCTTTAGTCCAGCACCTTTGGGATCTGACCGGTGCTGAACCAGAGAATTTGCTGAACCATGGGAGGTCAATATTGTCTAGCAGCTTCACTGGGCTGTTAGAGGACATTGAGGGGTAAATTAGAGTTAACTAGTAGCACAGAACACTGAGAGCCAGGTCTGGTGACCGAAAACAAACTTTATGGGACCACAGGAAACTTGGCCACACCCGTGATAAGTGGACATCCGGTGAACTCGCATCACACCGGACCATGGGTGTTGCCGGGTCAGAGTGTGCCGGACTAGAGAGGTTCGACCTGTAGCAAGAGGTGCAGGCAGTGGAGTGGGCAGGCCAAAACCGGGTGAAGTTGGGACAGGCCATGAAAGCAGCAAGGGTGTATTCCTGCATGGGCGTGCCATATTGGTGCATGTGTCGCTAGCAGTGCACAGTTGTGCTTGTTGTGAGTCGTTCAGCAAGACGGGACAGGCTACACAAAGGGGGGGGAAGAGATGTGCCAGGGCCGAACCCCACAGTTTAGGATGTGATCCCCATTGTCCACTGGCATGCACTCTCCAGCCCTGACCCAGGGGGTCCTTACTGTGCAGCACCCTTCCGTTTGTGGCATCTCTCCCGTGGCTCCCAGCGTGTCTTTCAATTGCTGGAGGAATTGTGCCTGCCCTGGTAGCAGAGGGTGCCCACACCTCCATAGACCCCAGTCCTACAAAAACCTACTACCCAGCTGTGTGACGAGAGTCCGGTTGAAGTCCATGGAACGACCTGTGTGTGTAAGGGGAGCACCCGCCTTTTGCAGACGCATCAAGAAACGCAATTGCGTGTGATCCTACAGAATGGCACCCACAGATGCATTTGGAAAGGAAACGGTGAGCTAGATCGCTGTGTCAACTGGGCTGCTTCATCTCTGTCTACTATAGCAGCAAGTCTCATTTCCTCATTCACAACCGAAGCCTGTAAAAACAGAAAAGCCCCTCATGTTTACTGTGATGGATTTAATTTTCCTTCTTCCAGATGATTGCACGTCGTCCAAAGCAACCAGCAGGATCCCAAAGTCTGTGTACACCGGTCACTTCAGTTTGGAGAGTGCAGCATTTGAAATTGATTTAGGGGCTGGTGTGAGAGGAAATGGAGCTCTCTTGGTGCAGCAGACGATTTTTAAAGGAAAGCTGCCGGCTTCAGAGCTGGAATTCTTTCATGCCCTGGTTTGCTCTAACAAAGACGGTCTCAGCTGTGAGAGTCAAATTCATTACCTCCAGTTCATAGGTGAGGTGGGGCATTGAGAGTTGAGAAGCCAAAGGGATTAAATATGGTGGGGATGTGTGTGCAAAATACTGTCGTCGCTGTGGGCTTAGAAATCTGCCTACAGATGCTGTCAAAACACATGCCGTAGGCATCTCTTCTAGCGAAGGGGAATCCGGCCGCTCCTGCTGACATAACGTTCCTTTTACACCGTGACCTTTGGGGACAGATGGAAGGCACCTGTATTTCCGTGGGAGATGTTGACTGATTCATTCTTCTTGGTTTAAATTTTCACCAGAGGGATAGGTCCTCGGGGAAAGCATAGGCACCTCTGTCTCTTTCTCCGTCCTGCGACGTGGCAGAGAGCATGTCTTGGGTGAGGCCTTCCCCTAATAGGAGATACCCGGCAATCCAGGCCCAATGCAGGATCTTGCTTATTGGTAGAAATTCAGCCTACTGAAGCCGAAAGTGCAGGGCACTCGCTGTTTCTGTTAATTTACCCCCGGCGGCTCTGAAGCCCTGGGTCTGGATAGCATCCCTACCCGCCGAGGGATGCTCCTCTTTCACTCACCTGCCCTGCTTTGTTTTTGCTAACATGCTGGGGGGAGGGAACCATCCTGTTCCCCTTGCCAATGGTTGGCTGCTTGCGGGATTGTTCGGAGGGCAATGTCAAGCTGCCTGAGTCCTGTCGTGGTAAATGAGCGTCACTTCCCCTTGTGTGTGACGACAGACGTCTCCATTACATGCAAAAACTGGAGCTGTTACAATTGTGCCTTTTTCAGTCATTTTAAAGCCATTTCTGTGTTGGTTTTACAATTTTTTTCAACACAGGAAACCTTTGGGGGCAGCTTAGGCCCATTAAAACATTTCAAGCCCCATTTTTAAACATGCCTTACCTTGGAAATGGAAAGTGACAAAGCAGCAAAGGAATTAAAAACAAACACACAAAGCCTGGATCACCTGAGCTTGGAAATGGAAAGTGACAAAGCAGCAAAGGAATTAAGAACAAACACACGCTGCCTGGATCACCTGACACACACTTTTGAGACCTTTCAATGTTGGTGAAAGGCCATTATTATGAAGCAAAAGGATTTTCCATGTTAAAAATTCCACCAGGTCTAATGAGAACTTTTGGCAGCTTGACCAGCCTGAGCCTTGGACCCGTTTTGGGGCATCACTAGTGACTGATACAAACGCCATTCCTCTGGAACACAAAACCCGTCCCTGGCACCACCAGTGAAGTAGCAGCTCTGCTCCATGTTCTGTACTGAGATTGATACTGCCTATGCCACCTCCTCAAGTGGGCTCGGGCTAGGATGCATTCTGTGTTATAGCGACTGTGAGGCTGACGCTATTGGAGAGAGTCTGTCTGTTCAGAACTCCTAAACGGTACAAGCTAGGGCCACCAAATCTGGCAGGAAGCTTCCTCTTCTCATACCTTGAAGCAAGGGAAGGGCTTGAATGTGCCTGGGTGGAATGCTTCTCAAAATCCTAGAAAAAAGACAATCATGTTGACTGTTCCCCTCCCTCCAGGAGAGAGGGGAAAGGGCACAGTTTGACGCATGGACCCCCTTGGTGCAGGGCTCCAGGGGGACCTGCTCTAGGTGTCATCCCATCCTTAGACAGAAAGACACTTGGAAGGCCAACCTCAAAGCATGCAAGATGGACTTTGAAACTTGGGGACTTGTTGCATTGGACAGCCGTATCTGGAGAGGTCTGCGCTGTGAGGCCACGTCTGCGCGTGAGGGTCGGTGTGTGAGGTCTCTGCAGGAGAAGACCACGTTATATGGGTATTGACTCAAACCCTTGCCTTAGTAACAGCTTCACGTGTGACTGTAACCCACTCACCTGCTGGGTGTGGTGCATGGTCCCATCTACCGGTACCAAGACCGCTTGCGGAGACGACAGTGACTCTACAGACTTCGCTAACATCCACCTGGCTTTAAGCAGCAGAGGCTCATGCACTAAGCTTCAGAGGTCCCAGGTTCGATTTTGCCCGTCGGCGTTCTGCAACCACATTTGCAAATCCAGGCTCAGACTCGCTTCCCACGTGAGAAGCCATAAAAACAAGCCTGTAACTTAAGTCAACATCAGCTGAATGCTCAACTGTAAAAGAGGTGGGAGATTCCAACAACAACAAGGCCAACAGTGAAGGCTTCTCCCCCATTTACATGCGGATTTCAGTTGTATGGTTTGGAAGTTGCTCTGATCAGGCACTTCTGGTTTGTGTTAAGACATTTTGCAATGGTGATGATGGAAATAGGAGGAGGAATCTTTTGTGTGACTGGAAAATAGGGGCAAAGGGAAAACGGAAGAAACTAGGAAATCTTTTTTGTAACTACATGTTGACATCACCGCTTTTCTTTTTTCCAGCTCAGCTTAGACAAAATGGCCCTGCGTCTTCCTTGCGGGGTAAATTTGGAGTAACAACTCTGAAGTCAGTGGCGTTGTGTGTGTGTCTCTCTTTCTCTCTCACTCACAGACTCAGACTGCGATCCCAAATTCCAAGCTGCAGTGCGGGGGGGGAGAGAAGCTATTTTGATGCCTGTTAGATTCCCCCAAGCAGAAAAGTGTTTATCCATCCACCAATAGGGACTTACTGCTTTCACACTACATCTAGTGAGAGACCACAAAAAACTTGCCTATTGACAGAAGTGAGACTGTACTATAACATCCCTGGGGCAGTGTGATCAAGCATGGCTTGCGTCCCATTTTACAATGGGTAGAATGTATTCTCAGAGATTTTTAAAGTTTTGAGAAGCCTGGAAGGTTAGTGCCGGTGGCCTTAGCAGTGTTGTTGCACCTGCAAGCGTGAAAGGTGTGTCACATTGCAGGATGTTCCGTGCCCTTATCGATGTACAACCCAACGGTGAGCAGGAGGGCTGACGTCACAGGGCGCAATTCGTGTGTATGCTGAGACCCCCAAGGGTGAGGCTGACAACAGAGCATGTCAGCCCTGTGCAGCAGGACACAAGTTACAGCTCCCCTCCATTTGTGGTGGTGCAGTGGCTTGGGCCCCTGCTTGCCCAGGTCGTGTAACCATTTTGGTTGTTAAAAGGGGATCACGGTTCAGGGAGGCTTGAGAACAGCTGTGAGGGTAAAGGCGTAAATTCCAGCCATTTCACTGGGGCCAGGATTTCCCACTTAGTGAACAACATGCGCAGGGATGGATATTAACCAAAGAATTTTCATCTCCTGCCTTATCTAGTCCCTGCTGGCCATTCTACACTGTGCATTTCCACGTTCCCAGCCCGAGTTCCTCGCACGGGACGGCTGAGTGTAACAAGCTGTTCAGAGCCATGGGGTGCACAAGACAATTCTTGCAGAAACGAGAGAGCGTAGCTCCTGAGACTGAGCCGTCTTGCCGTTATAAGGTTGGGATTTTACAGACCGCCTTTTGCTTGTTCTTTTTAAAACAGTGTAATGACTGATGGGATACAAGCCTATTGGTTAGATACCAAATGCCAACTAATGCGGAAATGTTTCATTTTGGGGCCAGGTTGATATTAATTTCTGCATCTGCCTACCACCCTTGTACCTCGTGGGAGCTGAAGTTCAGAATCATTCATACTCCATTCTTCCCTATGCCCCTTCTCTCCAGTCAGACTACATCTCCCATCAGGCAAGGCAACAGCTCAACCCCAGGGGGAGAGACAGCAGTGCATCGTGGGATATGTACTCTGTCTCGACAGCATTGCCAGCTCTGGTTGGCTGTATTCTGGGAGTTTTCGCCACATGTCATAAGGGATTGGACTACTCCGAAACTCACGTACTGCAGAAGCAAGCAGTTCACCCCTAATGGGCAGCTACTAGATTTTTCATGTGCACCTCAAGTTCAAGCACATTATGCAACTAAACAAGACTGAAAAATCACCAGCTGCAATAATCTGAATTTTATTTTTACAAGAGTGATAGGGCCTCGAGGCCCAGCATAAGTGCATCTATAAGGGCATCAAGGGGAAGGCAAGTGCAAGTTGCCTTGACATTGCAAACACCAGTGGGAGGTTGGCATCTCCAGGAATGTATGAAACCCAGTTGCATAAAGTTATAGGGTTTAAGCATTTCTATTTCTATTTATGCCTGTGCATGTTCAGAGCTGTGGGAAATCATGGAGGGACATAATGGAGGGGTCAGACGATCATGCTTTAATGACTGTAGACAATCAGATTCTAGAAGCTTAAGCCTTACAACTCACTAAGGCTACGTCTACACTACAAGTTTTCTCAGCAAAAAATATGCTAATGAGGGATTCATTTGCATGAGTCGTGATCTCATTTGCATATTTTCTGCTGATCTCTTTTTTCACTAGGGTTTTTGTGCAAAAACAAGCAATGTGGATGTTTTTCTTTTTGCGCAAAAACCCCTTTTCCCGCACGATACTACCGATTTACTAATATCTGCTACACAAATTGCGTAGCTTATTTTGAGGTAATTTTGAAATCTTATTTCAAAATTTGACGCTGTCTACACAGTGCCAAATTTCAAAATAAAGTACTATTCTGAAACATCCCTTAACCCTCATGGAACAAGGGTTACAGGGATGCCGGAATAGTGTACCCGTTATCTCGAAATCTGTTTCCAAGTAACGGACTGCTTTAAAAGACACAGAATAGCTATTTTGGGATACTTCCGATATCCTGAAATTGCTCCGAAATGTAGACACAGCCTAATTGTCAACATCATGTCAAACTATGTAAAATGAGTATCCTTGAATCAAACTCTTAAGTTCTCCAGCAGTATTTTTCTTTGCGTATCTGAAAAGTATGATTTTTATCAATGGAAATGTTGTTGGTTTGTGTGTACACCATGAAAAATTAATCCTTCCATGCCTATATTAACAACACTGATCGATTCGGCAAGAAGTTACCCTCTACTTCCCCCTAGTGGGTATGAAGCGGCAGCTGATACTTGTGTTGCTGACCACCGAGGATGGAGTGAAAATAATACCCTGTTGTATAATGTTGCACGTTTGGAGTCTATTTAGCTTTGAGATGGACACACACAGAGCGTTTTGCCTGCTGCCAAGTTTGAATGTGACCTGTGACATGGTGTGGGGGAGAAGGGAAGTCACACCCTGCAGCTTCCTTTCTTGGTGAAGCAAAAGTGCCAAGAATTAGATTTGTTTAAAGAGGGAGCCCACGGAAATTAAATAGGAGTTGGCTAAGGTCCCCCCCCTGCACATTAGCAGAGTCTGAATGTTTGTTATTCTGAGAGTGGTTCAATAGTTCTGACGTGGAAAAAAGAACGGAGGAGAATGATTGTTAATCTGATATTGTGGCTCTGGTTTCTAACCCTCTCCGTTGCCCAGAGAGTTAAAAATGATTGAGAGAATACAGCTCACTGAATAAGAAGCGTCATGCAGGCAGGTTCCTGGTTTTCTTCCTGTAGCCCTAAGAGACGTTTCCGAGGAGGCTGCGGTCTGTGTTTCACTGACAAATTGACACTTTTTGTGGGTGTTCTCCTTAGGGAACTTTTCTGAGGCTCCTGATATGGAGAAGGAACTGTGAATTCAGGGTCTGAGTGTCCATAGACAACGTTGCCAGACCAGTTCTGGTGGGACCTCCATGTACTAGTCCAGGCTGATGCAAGAGTCCTGGAGCAACCTCTCCTGTGGTCTCATGTTTAAACTCCCACTCAGGCTTAGGATAGGACCTACCACGCTCCTTTCGCTTTTGAATTGGCAGGAGGGAGGTGAGAAATGGGACTGAAAATACTCCTAGTTCTTCCTCACCCACCCACCCAGTGAGCACCTCCTTGTTGCTGGGAATGGCGTGCCTTCCTTGCGGGTTTGCTGTGCTGCATCAGGGAGCTGTAGGATCAAATCTAAGCCGTGCCATTTGTATGCAGTACAGATGTGGGCGCATTCCAGACTCAGGCACAGACTTTCAAAGCCCCGGTCTTTTTTCCTTTATGCCCTGAGTCTGTTTAACAGTAGGTCTGAGGCAAGCAATTGACAGTGACAACACTTCAGAGCTGTTCGAATCTCCCTGGCTTTCAGGCGAGTCTTTTTCAGCTTGTTCAGAGACACCCCTCCCCCCCCCACTACCACCACCACTCCTAAGGGCTGCGACACTTCAGCTCGTATTGGCTTCTAAAGCTGAACAGACCCTGTCCAATTGATAGGGCAGTGGTATGAACAAACCATTAATCTAGTGCAGAGCTGTTGAGAAGCACTGCTCCAGAGAATTCTGCACCGATGAGTCAGAGCTGTGGGAATAAGGAAAAAAAAATTTTTCACTTCTCTGGCAATGCCAAAAAAAGAGAGGAAAAAGTATCATTTTGGGTTAAACCGAAAAGGAAACTTTTCAAAACAGTGGACAAAAATTCATTTTGGCTGCATTCAGTTAGTTTCCCCTAAACCAAAATGCTTCATGTTGATTTTGATTATTTAAAAACGGTTTTTAATGACATTTTGAAAGGAAAAGTCACTTTTAAAAAACAAAACGTTTGCTACAAAATACGAAAACACAATTATTGTTCTCCCCCTCCAAGTTTTTAGTTTCATTTTAAATAAACTGATTTGGCTAAACCAACATAAACTTGCAAAAACGTTGTCTTCCAAAGCTGCGTTTCCCTTTGCCCCCCTCCCCCAAAAAGTTTGGCGCAAAAACGTTGCCCAGATCCACTGGTGAAGGTTGTTAGCAGAGTTTTTGAAATTTAAAACTAAGGCTCATTCTCTTGTGGGGCAGCTAGAATCTAGTTTTCATTGCAGGATGCGTTCGTTTTCCATTGATCCATTATCCCCTTGCCTTACAAAGCAGGAA